ATTTTTTCCTCTGGGAAACACTCTTTGCATATATTTCCCCAAGTCGCCAGAAATCGACGGGCGTCTTCGCAATTTACATATAAAATATTTTGTGCGAATTACACACACATTCGAGCATCAAGTGCTGGCATCGCATAAATCGCATTTGCCTGTGTATTTTCTTATTGATTTATGACGGAATTTTTAATAGTTTGGAAATGGTTGTCGATAAATATATTCTATTTATGCATTATTGCATTTCTTGAATCATAAATTCAATGCCACAGACACAGTCTTGTGATATATGTTGAAAAATGGTTTAAAATGTGAATCGCCAAGAACGGTTTTACTTTATTTATTTGGCTTGATAGAAATGAACAAAATGTTTATTCGGCTTTATTTTATTCGAAAAGTTTCCTCTTTTTTTTGGATAAATCTTTCATGTCCGCAGCCCTTTGCCAGCGAAATCAATTCACTTGTGAACAGAGCGACAGCCGACAGAAAGTGGAATGTTTGCCATAAGAATTGTTCGGGTTCGCGGCGTATTTAAATGGCCAACCATTGTTTTTTTTCCGATTCGGACCTCAAACAAATCAGAGAAACGGAAATAATTAAATTTTTGGCGTTGCGAAAAATACAATTTTTCGCACGGTTGCCAGAAAAAACCATGGGAAAAATGCATCGAGTCCTGGGAGTCCTGTCCCACTGCTGGTTGGCTCCTTGTACGCCAGAAACACGCCGGATGCCTATGAAATGCAGCTGCTGTGTAAAATGATTTCTGCTCCCTCATTCATTAAAAAACAATTAAATGTGCGACACGCGAACTTAATTACACTTTTATGTGGCCGGCTCGGATGACAACAAGCATGCTGCCAATGTCGGATCCCATGGGATGGACTGGGATCTCTGCCCATCAGCCCACCATTTGTGGTTTTTAGTGCGTGCCCGTCGCACAGAAAACTCTTCTACTTGAATATTTTATGGCCTTGCAACGGACCACGGACCCAGGGCATCTCCATGGGATTCTCCATGGGCATCAAACAATTTGTATAATCAACAATTAAAGTGCGGATCGGCTCGTGGCCGCGCATTAAGTGAGCATTGTCTGGCCACCCCCCATTTTCCGCCCACTCATCAGCATCAGCCTGAAGGGAGATTTTCCAATTTGTACTGGCAGCAAATTGCAAAGTTTTGTTTTGCGGTTGTTTCCATCTCGCCGGGAAACGGAAAACGAAAAACTCAGACAAGGCAACGCGTTTTCGGACGGCTGTAAACTTCAATTGCGCGTTAAAAATCACCCCCTTTTCCCAGTCTTAACCCATTAAAACATGCCCTGTGCCGCGTATCTCGTTGTTATTAATGGCATTAATTAAAAATTTAAATTTGTTACAAACCCGTTTAACGCCGCTTTTGTCTGGAATTTTCGTAAGACATAAATTGCTTGAAATGCTGTCTGAGATTCTGCGATAACTAATGGAATTATTTCGGCATTCGTTTCATATTTTTGACATTTCGCCAGGACTTGTATGTATTTCCGCAAAATTATTTTATCCCAATGCAAAATTTCGCGTTCCAAACTTTTCATATAAGGCCTATAAATTAAGTCAACCCACACATGCTTTTCTATTCTGCTAAATACACTGATAGAAAATGGAAAAGTTAAAACAAATATTTTCAAATGGAATTAAACATTTCGTATTTATAAATTAATATATTTGTTATTTGAAATTATTTAAATCGTAATAGAAAATATTAGTTTTTATGTTGGTTATACTTACTTAAAATATTTTTTATATTTCTAAATATTTTTATATTAAGATCTAATAATTTAAAATCTTTAAAACAACTAGATAACAATAGTTTTGTTGTTAGTCATATATAATTGAAATATTATTCGTCATTAAAAACAATAATTTCATATAAAAATCTTGTTTTAAAATTTTCCAATAAACTTCAATTATTAATTTAAGTACTTTCATATTTAAAGTAAATAAAAACCGCATTGGATATAAAAACATACCAAAGAATACTTAAATTAAAAATGATGTCCTTGGACTCACTACGTTTTTTCCAGTGTATACATATTAATATATATCCAGGGTACAAACACGCGCAGCTCAAAATCATGGCGAACATTTCAGGAGTCGGGAACTAAGCTTCACGGCTTTTGGTTTTTGTCAGCGCAAGAAATCCCAAAATTAAATAGAAAATAATTTGATTTATGCCTGTGTGCAGACCATTCCAGTGTGTATACACACTTTTGGCTGATTAGCCATGGTTATTTTTGAATATTTACGACCAGGAGATGGTCGAGAATCAGCCGGAATGGGTGCAATAACCTCTCATTAATCCAGTTAGACATGAGACATCAAGCATCACGCATACGCAGTGTGGACCGTGCCAGCACAGCATGATTTTTGCTGCCACTTCATTAGACATCGCTGCCTCTGCAGTCCCCTCCAAAACGAGAGACTTTTATTTATACATTTATTTATCCTAACATTTATCATGAAATTACTGTAATAACTTGGCGTGCCTTGATTTATGCTGGAAAATTATTTCCACTTGTTTTTCACCGCCCCCCCGGCAGAAGGTCTGCTTTCAATTATGTCCCTGGATCTGTGTCCTTCGTTTGGGATTCCTTGTGTATGGATTTTCGATGATGGAATCACACGAACTGCGGTCAAATCGCACGCACGCCTGGCTCGGCGAACATTTAGCCATCTGATTTGTCGCCATTCATTGTAGTTGTCATTGTTGCTCTCGGGTGGTTTTCGCTTTTCCCGGCCTTTTTGATGATGACAAAGGAGCTGCTGGCTGGCGAATCTGCTGCTGGTAAGCCGGTCTGTCTTGTTAGCGATGTGCCCACCCGGCATGTGTGAGATTTCCGGCGCTAGGATTTATGGCAGAAAATATATCACAAAGTTTTCTGCGCTTAAGTTGGATACCATTAAGAGAAAGACTCTTTTCGGAAATGTTCTTTGGCCTCTCTACTTTCGTCTTCTCTATTATACCAAACGAATAAAAGCATTTCTATATCAAATCATTCCAAATCCTAAATACTTTAACAAGTACTCTACTGTTTGTACTATATATTTTTTATGCTATCAAGCTTGTACTATAAACTAATGACTAAAGTATTTCAACATTTTATGAACTCATTAGTTTTGGAAAGCTATATTTATATATATACTTCAAATACAATATGATATAGCTAACGAATATAAACAACAACCAAGTAGTTTAAAATACTATAATATTTGAATACTTTCTACTATATCTGTTGTTTTCAAGGTTATACCTACTAAAAGCTGATTACTAAAGTATTTTCACATTATAGAATTTTGGATTAATACAATTTTGAAATACTAAGAAAAAACAAGAGCTTTAATATTATGATCATAAATATCTTTTCAATTATAATTTTAAATATACTCACTCATAATAGTATATAACTAACGACTATCTTACTGAACTTTTTAATTAACAAACGTATGTGAATCTTTTATGATGATATTTAATCTACATTTTTATTATAGGTACATATATCACTAAAAGAGGCCAAAATAAGTTTTAGAACTTTGGTTTCCCAATCATTTATGAACTTTCCTTAATTACTGAACCCTCGTATTCTCCGTTACTACTGATTATTCCCCCCATATAAGCCATGAAAACATGGAATGGCAGCGAAGAACTATTATAAAAACAAATATATATATTACAAACAAACTAATTTCATATCTTTTTATATACTCTTAATAAAATATGATATACGAGTATCTGTCAAATATTAAAACACATTTTTTAATGAACTACAAATTTTGTATGATCATTTTGAATCTTCGTTTTTAATAAAAATATATACATATATCAGTTAACATAGCCAATCTATTTTTAACAAATGACGTAGAAATACGTTTAACAACTTTGGGTTTCATATTAATTTGTGAAAGTTCTTTAATTACAGATACCCCCAATCAGGTCATTAAAACACGCAATAGAAACCCTGTCATTCGTCAGATGGGAAGTGCCATCGAGGAACCATTACCTGCTTAATGCTATTTTTAAAATTCTTTAAAAAAAACATCAGTATTATAAACACACTAAATTTATAGCTTTTAATATTATCTTAATAAAAATGGCTATAACTAACAAAAAAAGTTTAATAACTTCGAGTACCATAATAATTTGTGAAAGTTCTTTAATTACTGGTTCCCCCATATAGGCCATTAAAGCACGGAATAAAACCCCTGTCATTCGTCGGATGGGAAGTGGCATCGAGGAACCAAAACCTGCCTAATCCTATTTTTAAAATTCTAAAAAAAAAAACATAAGTATTATAAACACACTAAATTTATATCTGTTAATATTATCCTAATAAAGTAGGATGTATGTAACTAACGAATATTTAAATATATTTTTTAATGAACCACAAATCTTTAACGATGTAATTTAACCTCTTTCTATTACACATACATACAACAAATAAAATAAGTTTAATAAATTCGGGTACCACAATAATTTGTGAAAGTTCTTTAATTACAGGTCCCCCCATATAGGCCATTAAAGAGCGGAATAAAAACTCTGTCATTCCTCGGATGGGAAGTGGATGGGAAGTGGCATCGAGGAACCATTACCTGCCCCAATAAAAGCTGAGTGGGCCTGTCGCCATGTGACTACGGTAATAACGACGGCATAAAATTCGTAGGAAAGGAGAATCAAAGCGCAAAAACAAGAGAGTTTCCCAAATGGGTGGGAAAAACAGAGAAGAGAACGAGAGAAACGGGGCACCAAATTGACTTAATTCCCTATTGTTGTTTTGGTTTTTTCCCGTTATTCTTTTTTCTCCGATTTCAGGGGGTGGAGTTAAACAGCTGATTTGATTTAAGAGAGGGAGAGAGAGCGAAAGCTTCGAATGGGTTCCACTTCCAGGGACTTCAAAGAGAGTGTTGTGTTTGGAGCTTAACCCACATTGCCGAAGAGGCCTGAAGCCAGGCCCGCGACGAACGGCATCTTCAGTCGTTGGAATACACTCGTGCGTCGTGGTCACAACTGAAATCGTTCTGTCGCGGGAAATTTGCACGTGGCAAAGCCAAAACGGTACTTGGTCTTTTCTCTTCTCTGCACTCCTCTCCTCGCGGTGTACGTGTGTTGGTTTGTGCGGCTGTGTGGGTGTATCATCAAGCAAGCTGTAAATGTGAGCAATTGAAAATGTGTTTCAGGCAGAAGTTGTCCTTTTATCTATGCGAAATTAAAGCGAATCGACAAACACATCTACGTTTTCCTGTCTCTCTGTGTGTTTGTGTGTGTGTGCGTGAAATGTAAATGTATGCCAAGGCTTAAGAAACCGTTATGGAGCCGCGTCATCTTCTCTTTTGTCTGCTGCCTTGCGGCATTTCTTCGTCTTTATTTATTTTACGCATTTTCCAGTCTCACACTTTATTTTTTTGTGGCGTAGAATACCGTTTGCGGAATACCGAAAAAAGTACAATTTTGATGGCAATACAACGTTGGTCACATCGCTCACATTCCACTTAACGGTCATTGACGGCGCTTCCCCCCCTTTTTTTTGAGAGGGGGTCCTTAAAATTGCATGCCTTTATTTGCCCAGCACGACTTGCATGCAATTAGGCTCTTGTAAGCTTAATCGTCGTGAATGGAATAATTAAGCCAGGCAAAAGCCAACGACACCGTAACCCCCAAAAGTAGGCAAGCAAAAGTTTCAATTGCTGGCAGTTCAGTCAAGGATCGCAATTATAGGCCACTTTCAGCTGACAATTTAGTCATTTTGCCTTAATTTGCTTATTTCATTCGCAATTATTATGATTTCTTAAAACAGTTTATATCTCATGAAAATATGTTGAAAGATCAGTCATTTGGTTCTCATTCCAACCAGCAGTGCTATAATTTTTGTAAGATTTGTTTATAATTAAGATAAATTTATTTTATTATCATATTTCATATATTATTGTTTCTATATTTATGTAAATACACATTTTATTTATTTGTTTCAAATGGATTATTATTAATATTTTTGCCAGTTTTGTTTATATTTAAGATATATTTATTTTATTACCATATTTCATATAGTTTTGGTTCTGTATGTATGTAAAAACATATTTATTTATTTATTATATAGTGGAATATATTAAAAATAAATCAGGGTTAGTCATTTGGTTTTCATTTAGTTCGGCAGTATTTACGCACCCGCATATTTAATATCGCAACTCTTTGACATTTTTATTTACAATTTAAGTTGATTTATTTTATTGCCATATTTTTCATATATTATTATTTCTAATCCATATTTAATTTATTTAGTTATATTTTCCAAATTCATTTGGTACTCATATTCCACTGTAAATGTCTAATTTTTTATAAGCCCCACACAATATTTATTATTTAGTGAATAATGGTTTATTTATTATTGAACATTCCAAATATCATTTATATGCCTCCAATTAGTGTGCCTTTTCAAGCACTTTTCAGTTTTTCCGTTTTCCCCTTAACAATTAAAAACAAACATTTGGTTGATTTTATTTTCATTAGGGTTAAAGAGACCCATAAAATGGTTTCATGTTGATCCCTAGTTATGCCATCGGTCAAAAACTAGGCCAGAACTTAATAACTGCCAAATAAAAACACTCAATCAAAAAAATAAATTGAATTTTTACAACAGGCTACGTGCCCTGTTGATTTAATTTCTTCGATAAAAACGGTTTTCATACATGAATAATGAAATCTGAGAATTCGCCTTGTTGATACAAAAAAGTAGTGAATCTTTTATAAACATGCCAGAACGAAAAACGAGTATAAAAATAGCGCACTTTTATTTATTTAAAGCCAAATAAAACAAATTAAAAGGAAACGAAAGCAGAGCGGCAATTTTAAATATAAATGAAACCCCCATTTTTATAACCCAAAAACAAAAATTGAAACAAAACAAACATAAAATGTAGCAAACGAATCAATTTTCAACAAAAGATCTAACGAAAAACGGAAAGCGACGACAGCGAACAAAGGCAAATAAATGCTGAATCCTGTGAAAAGTGAAAGCAATTGAGAATCGCTTCAAAACATGAAATGAAATATTTTTCGGTGCAGGATATATGAAAAATCAACAGAACGGTTTCCCAATACTATATGCCAATAGGTGTGTGCGTGTGCAATTGTGTGAACACCTACAAAAGAAATAAAAAAGAGGAAATAGCAAATACAGAAGGAAAAAGGATACGCGACTGTCCCCAACTGACCGAATCCGAACTCGAGGATTATTATTTTCGCCAGCGGAGAAAACAATAAAACTGCCAGTGGTCATAAAAGCAGCAGTTATATACATGGATGCTTTATATATATATATATAGATCAGTGACTTTCGCAAGGTAAGTCGAGCAGAAATAACCAAAAGAACATGCCATAAGCTTAAGTTGTCAATTTTCACAAGCCAGGATATGTTGAAAATAAATAATCGTTTCCACTTGCCAGGGGAGATCATCGAATGATTTACCCATCAAGGAAAATTCTGTTCCCTGTTCAGATCAATCACATTGTTGCCTAATTTACACAGCGTCAACAAAAATAAAATCAATTCAATGAAGATAAATGAGTTCAAAGTGAAAGCGGAGCTGCCAGACGCGTGTCTATATATAAAACCAGGGCCTTATCCTTATCCTTATGCCACCTTGGTGGTCTCCACTTTCACTAGCGATTGGCAGCGGTAATCAGCGATTACAATGTCATGAATCTAAATCCAAGTCGCAACAAGGACGCCGCAGTCACGTGCGTGTTGGGTAAAGGCAGCCGCAGGACCTTCTCCATAAGACGCAGGTGTTGCGTCCCCAGGATACCAGGAATAGGGCTAAGAATAGGGCCATCGAGTGGCGACGACAAGGCGCTTCGTAAGAGCTGCTTCCTCTGATGGCCATTATTTACCCAGCCACCTAGCGGCTGTCATAAAAAGTTTCAGCTTATTACTCATACGCCCCCACGGCCAGACTCTTCTGATGTGCAAGGAAATCATATTAATCATTCTGCCAATGATTGGGATGATTTCTTCTCAGCTCACATCCGTTTTTTTTCATTTTTTGCTGGCTTCCTTATCGATTTGTATACTTGGCTATGATAGACACGCACAAATTTACCCAAAAATATAGAAAAAAGGAAACACCTGCCCTTCTATATTTAGTTGGGCTCACTTTGCTCTACTCCAAAAATAAGGGGCGGCTTTCCGGGGAGTGCATAAATTAGCGCAAATAATTATGCAGATTTTTTCCCTTTTTATATTGCCGTGCGCAAATAAACGCTGCCAGACCAAGAAAGACGAGCTTGTTTTGAACTTTTGAATATTTTAACGCTCCATAATTAGGCGACGGGCAAGGAACTCACTTGAAAATGTACCCCTTTCTCTCCTAAAGGTGAACATTTGCCGAACGAACTTTGAAAATTTATTTCCGTGAACTTTGGCTTCATTTTAATTCACACCAGAGAAGTGCGAGTCTGAACTTTAAATTTATTTTATTTGGAAGCATTGCGAAGCCACAAGAAAAGTAAATGTTGGCTACCATAAATTTAGTTAAATTACCAAAATGTTTTTAAATTTCTCATGTCTATATTGCTTTTTTAATTGAGTACAAAGACTTAATTAAAATTTCCTCAACATTCTTCTAATTAAATTATGAGCTTTTGTGTTCTTTTGATTTATTGCAGCATTTTCACTGTAAATATTTATAATGGTAACGTCCTTTTTGAAAACTTTAATTGATGTTTAGTGTTTCTAGCAAACGGCTTTGAAAACTTTTATTTTGATATGCCCATCATCTCCATTTAACTCATCTCTATTAGTAAAATTAAACAAACTTTAAAAGGATATTTGCCCATTAGACCAGAAGGATTGTGAGACAGCACAAGCTAAAAGGCATTGAGAACAATATTTTTTATCCTGTGCTATCTCACCTCTGGTTTTCATCATATATTTTTAATTAATGTTTTAATTTTTATTTAAGACTGTTTAATTGTTTAAGTAAATTAAAAAAGGCTTCGCTTTTCAAGATTAAACGTCGGTGTTTATGCCAAATGCAGTTCTTCAGAAATACTATCCCCACTTGGTTTAATGCCCTTCATCTTTAGAGGCACGATGCCGAACTTTGTGGCTAGTTCCTCGAGAACGCACAGGGTGCAGGGTGACATGGTGAGTCCGCCCTGTTCGTCGACCATTTGCATGTGCTCCATCTCCTTGTCACCCGGCACCATCGCCGATTTTCCCACCTTGTTGGGCATCGCCTGTCTCAACAGCCGGTGGAAATCGCCCAGTCGGTCCTCGAAAGAGGGACAAAATCTCATCGGATCGATGGCCACATAAACTTGGCCCAAATCCGCTGGAGCATTTTCCGTACTATAGACTCCACGTCGCTGGATTTGATTTGCATATCGAGCACCTGTCATCACACCGCACAAAATGTCCACCATGGCGGCCATGCCGAAACCCTTGTGCTCCGGCTGAAAGGCTCGGATCCGTTGGGCCCTCAAAGCCTCTTCCGTGGAGGTGGTCTCCCGGCCATTCCTATCCAAAGCCACTAATTTGGGCACTTCCTTTGACCAGCCATTGCAATAGGATAGCTCCAGTTCCTCCACCGAACAGGCAGCCATACCGAAATCGGCCAGGAATTGTTCATGGACACCGGAAGCGGCACAGGCAATTGGATTTTCCCCCAATATGGGTTCGATTCCTCCCGCAGGCACCAGAGTGGGAGCTCCATTCGTCATGCAAAGACCAATCATTCGCTGTTCCAAAGCTTGACAGGCATACCAGGAGGCGAATCCAATACAGTTGGAGCTACGGGCGGAAACCCATCCAATGCCTACTTCCCTGGCCTTTTGCAGGGCCAGATCCATGCAAAAGTTGGCCACCACCGGACCAGGAGCATTGTGGCCATCTACCAGTGCGATGGCCTTCTTTTCGGACACAATTCCCGGTGTGGCATCACCCACAACGGTGCAGTTCAGAAGATCCGCTGCAATGGCCGGCAATCGATGAATGCCCATGGAACGTTGGCCCATATAATCGGCGGCTATCAGGGCATCGGCCATTTCACTGGCCGCCTGTTTGGGCACCTGCATGGCGGCGAACACTTGGCTAACGAATCTCTGGGCCTCCAGGACATCGACCAGCCGGCATGAGTCCTTCATCCGTTTCTCATCCTCAACGCCGCCGGGTTTCCTCTGGCCACCACACATGAGCAGCACCCTCTTGATATTCTGCCAGAGCATTTCGGATCCAGGTGGTGTCCTTTGAGGGATTGCCTCTATATCATCGATATCCTCTTTGGACTTGTTGATTAACTCGTTATCTTTATCACTAAATTTGACCGATCCTAAGCTTTTTACCGCCTGGTTGGTGCTGACAAAGTTCTCCATGGACAGTTTGAGTCGCACCTTTCGCAAAGCATTCAAAAAGTTGACCATTATCCCCATTTTTTCGGTCTTCCTATATATGTTATTTGGTTTTTGAAAAATATGTTCCTATAGAGTTTGCTGTATTTGTCTAAGGTATAACGAAAAGGAATCAATCAAAAAGAGTACAAGATATGCTACGGGCCGTTTTCTCAATGTCAGGTTGAGGTCTAGTTTGCTAACTGTCAGATATAGTTAACATGCACTTCAATTTGTATGATTTGTTTTTGTTTGTAAATTTGTTTCCTCAATATCATGTTAATTTGTGTCATTATCTTTTCGTCGACCAACAAATTTAACCTGAGCATTTCCTCCGGTTAAGAGTTTTCAGTCAAACAAACACTAACATAACATTGAGTCACTGAATGTTTGCGAAAGAGCAATTTAGCCCAAAAACAAAGTTAACATGGCATTGAGAAATGGTCCTAAAGTTACATTTTTATTTGTTGTCCATGAAGCTTTATTCATATTTCCTAGTGTAATACTAGTTTATCATTATTGGAACTACTTGTTTAAGGAATGTAATTCGTTAATGTCCCAGCAACAACATTTTCAAACAAACTCTTTTCCCAGCTAGTTTGCTTTGATATTCATCACATTGTTTTCCCAACGGTTGGCTCCTGGGGACAGCTCACATTTCACACAAACTGGTGCATATTTTATCCCAAATAAGCATGCATATCCAAATGAGCTACTTTTGTATCCACAGCTACCACTCGCTGTGCGTACTTGAATTGTCAGCGCAGAAACAACGAAATATCAGCACACAAATAAGCAGAGTAATGCCAAAAATGGAAAAACAAATGCGATGCAAAAGCTTAAAAAATGCACACAAATTGCACTGGCACAGTTAAGGATGTGTAAAGTAACCTTGAGGCAGGCATATACATGCCACACAAATATGTACATAAATGTGCAGATACAGATACAGATACAGATACATTTTGAGGGTACCAGATGCACATTGCACGGTTTTCAGGGTGTGTTTTCAAAAATGTGCCAGTGACCTTGTTTATTCATGTGGCCGCCCAACTCGTTTCACATAAAAATAAAGCAGCACTCAAATTTAACACTTTCTACATACATTTTTTATACACCGCCAGGTTTATTATGGGGAATAAATGTATTATGCTTGCATTTCATATTCATGATAATAAACGACCAATTAGTTTTCACGGCTATGGTAAAAAAGCTGATTGAATTAGTCATCGGTCAACAGTTGGGTTCTGAATCGATAATCCAAACAAATAGGTATTTTAATAACCATTTATTTATGTCTGTTGTGTTTCTCTTTAAATAAATAAGTCATATTACCTTAAATCACATGGAAAAATGTCTACATTATCTTGAGGTCTATTTAAGAGAATTACAGGCTTTGTTTTATCAGGCTTAAGTTTTTAATTTAACGGAAATTAATATTACAATGTATAATAACCCCACGTTTAATAGTAAATATATTCAAAATTTTTAAGTTTTGATTTAGATTACGAGGCAGTAAGAGAAGGATTTATATTTAAAAACCTTAACATCACCTTTATAAAATTACTTTATAAGACCTGTACTTTATATAGACCTTTGCAACAATATTATATGTTACTTTTTAACTTCAATTTTCCAGATCACGATGAAATCCAGCCAGTTTGGTACTAGTCTCGTCATCCCAGCCCATCAGCACAGATAGTTTAAATGACCAGAAAGAAATCACCTCAATCCAGAGCCACATCGAAATAGGTGAAGACAGTTGGACCGTAGCTCGGTCAGATCGCACAACTTGAAGCTCCACTGTGCTGTCATGGGTGAAGGTCAGCTGCTTCTGTTGCTACGACTCCTGCTGCTGCCGACAATCCTCTTGGGCTGTTTGGACTGTGCGGAGGCCTCCACGGCGGACATCTACAAGGGAGCCCGGCTGGGCCATCGCATCGTCCAGACGCGCTACGGGAGGCTACATGGACTCATCCTGCCGCTGGACAGCTTCCGGTTCTTGCGATCCGTGGAGGTCTTCCTTGGAGTGCCCTATGCCACGCCACCCACCAAACAAAATAGGTACGTGGGACTGGTTTTTAAAATATTAAATGTATCATTTTAATGTATTTCCTTCCTTTTTTATTTGTTTATGTATCTAGGAATTACTACTACTATTACTATTTCGGAATTTATCTCAATGGTTTTATTATGATTATGTTTAAAAAACCCACGAAGGATCCTCGAAAAGCTCTGCATAATTTTGCTATCCACCTTTGCTATAATTATATACTCTGTATAATCCTGTCGTAAAGAAAAAATTACATTTAATTAAAAAAGATTACATTATTTTAAAACCTTTCTAAGACTAGGGATTGAATCTTTAGTTGCATTCTTTTCTTATAAAGGTTTTTAAATGATGTAATCTCTATATTGTATGGCAGGTTTAAATAAAATATAACATGGAATCTCTGAACGCTTTGTTAAAGAGGTTGAATATTATTGAAAGTGTCATAAGTTTCAACTAAACTGAAAACTTAATTTCTTTTAAAATTATTTTTTTATCAACAATTCATATCTCAACAAAATTAAGGAGTTTTCGGGTTGGTCATAGGCCATAGGGCCATATTTTTCCCTCAATCTTTTATTTACCTTTATATTTTTCTAATTCTTTAAGAGGATTTATTTTCCATCATAAAATCCATTATATTAAAGTAAAGATTTCCATTTTCATTGTTCAGGTTCAGTCCCACGAGAGCACCAGCGCCCTGGGATGGGATTCGGATATCGGATAAATACAGTCCCGTGTGTCCGCAGCGACTGCCCAATATCCAAAACGAGACGGCGGCGCTGGAGAAGATGCCCAAGGGACGCCTGGAGTACTTAAAGAGACTGCTGCCCTTTCTGGAAAACCAGTCGGAGGACTGCCTCTACCTGAATGTCTTTTCGCCAGTGAATGGTAAGTGCTATAATAAACTTAAAGAATCCCAGTCCAGTCACAATTCACGAACAAAAAGCTGAAAAAGCAGCACATAAATCTCATTTAAATTCAATTAATTAAGATTAATCGTACGACACGTAATGCCAATAATTTCTACGCAAAAGAAAACCGAGAGCTCACGTAACCACTGCGCAAATCTTATCGCAAGTGCCACCCCACTAAGCTCACAATCCCGTCGAGAGTCCGTGGAGAATCCGGGGGGAATCGCTAATCTGAGGCGATTCCTCCGCCGAAGTGCTGGCAAAATCCACTTTGCACGCAAACGGAAACGTTTAATGGGTCATGAGCGCTCCCGGGCACTTGCGATTGGCGGTGTGTTGAAAGGGAAAAACGCGATATCACAAGTTTTGAAATACAACCAAAAAAGAAATACCTACAACTGCATACTATATTTGTATCATGATTTCAACTGCTGATATACACTAACACTCTCCATTTTGTTCACTCCATTTTTGCGTTTTGTCAGCCGGGGCCAATGAGAAGAAATTGCCGGTGATTGTGTTCATACACGGCGAGTCCTTCGAGTGGAGCAGCGGAAATCCCTACGACGGCAGTGTCCTGGCCAGCTACGGAGAGGTTGTGGTGGTGACACTCAACTACCGGCTGGGGATCTTGGGTATGATACATATATAGAAAATATTTGAATATATTAGGGATTTAGTCTGGCGTATATATTTGCAAATACAGTGCATTTTTGTTATGTTAAGTCAAAATATAAATATTAAGGTCCTGTTCTAAGTAGGTAAACTTTTTCTTCACTTAAAAATAATACTCATAGAAAAGGACCCATTGTTAAATTAATTCTACTCTATTGAGTATCGATTGAATTAATACAATCTAAAGTATGAAAATAATTGATTTACAAATTTAACCACAAATCCAAATTCTAGACTCTTGAATATAAAAATCAGAATGTAAAGTATAGTCTTTGTATTATTTAGTCTTGAATGTATACATAATTTTATTATTGCCTCTGGTATACTTTTAATACAACCGATATCTTAACTTATTTTAGCCTTTTATGGATGTAGCATAATTGTTAGGGATTTTAAAGAAGTTTCCTTTGACGTTTATGTTAATATTGATTACCCCACAGGTTTCCTCAATGCCAATCCCAATCCGCATGCCCATGCGAGGGTGGCCAACTATGGGTTGATGGACCAGATGGCCGCTCTCCATTGGATCCAGCAGAATATCCAAAAGTTTGGGGGAGATCCCAACTCGGTGACCTTGGCGGGTCATGGAACTGGAGCAGCCTGCATCAATTACCTAATGACCTCGCCCACAATGGTCAGGGGTCTCTTCCATCGGGCCATTCTCATGTCCGGTTCGGCCTATTCATCTTGGGCTTTGGTCGAAGATCCTGTATTGTTCGCCATTAAGCTGGCCAGGGAGGTCAACTGCACCATTCCCGAGGACATCAATCGGCACCACGAGCAGATCGTCGACTGTCTGAGGGATGTGCCACTGGAGGACCTCTACACCGCCGACATTCAGGCTCCAAACTTTCTCACATCCTTCGGACCATCGGTGAGTTTATAATGATTACCAATAAGTTTATATATTACCTGATCAAAATTAAATGTTTGCATACGTTATAAAATTCCACATTTAACAATAAATGATCATAACACTTAAAAATAAAGAAATAAGTTCACGTTTTATAAGATAGAATTTTATAATGAAAGCTACATTGCTTGCATTCACTTAAATGAAACCTTGTTAAATAAGTAGCAAACAATCAAAGAAAGTTATTTTGAAAACAACCAATTTCTTCAATGCATACGCTAGGTTATTGTGCAATTAAAAATATTTACTAAATTCAAATTAATTCTTAGGCCCTAATCTTTTACTCTAGATATATTAAAAAAAATACATTTTTTCATTGAACTTTAATGATTACATTTTTCCTTGTACTCTTTGATAAAAATTCAATGGCATCTTAGAAAAGATTTAGACATTGCAGGACACTTCATTTAATGCCATTGATTTCGCTTTTTGCGGGACTTGCTCCTTTGTTCGATCCGCGCTTCAATGGACTTTATTACTTACTCAAACCCCCTCCCCCTGAGTTTCGACCACTACTCCTGTCATTTACTTGCGATTCCTTCTTGTCTCTCCTCGATTTCAATTTAGGTTGATGGCGTTGTCATACGACCCGGACATTCCAATCTCGATATCGATGATTTAATGGCGCGCAACTCGAGGCGCTCGTCAGCGGATTCCGGCTTTCAGTCGTCCGCCGGCGGAGGCGGTGGAGGTGGCGGTCAAGGAGGCGGGGCCGGTGGCGGAGGCGGTGGCTCTGGCTCGGCATTCGGCGGTGGATATTTCGGGGGCGGCGGAGCAGGACCGTCCAACATGGGCGGTCACTATGATGTCCTGTTTGGCGTCGTTACGGGCGAATCGATTTGGCGCTTCAGTGCCCATGACATCCAAAACGGTTTCGAGGGCGAGAGACGCGATAAAATTATTCGCACCTACGTTCGCAATGCCTACAATTATCACCTCAACGAGATATTCTATACGGTGAGTACTCGTATTTCTTATATATGTATATATTTATTTTTATATATTTATTGGGGACGGGCTGTCTGCGGCGGTAGCCATAAATCTTGTCCATCTGATTTATCTCTTCCCCCCCACATAATGACTTTATGTGGTCTACTAGTCTGCCATCAGTTTAAGCTTAATTATTGCCTTTATCGTGGGGTTTTACTTTTTAACTTGAAAAGTTTTCGCTTGAAAACTTTATAGACAGTTGGCGGATGAAAGAAATATGTTTCGCCCCAGTGAATCATCTATTTTTCTTGAGGTTTCTTTTTATTTTGTTTACATTTTGTATGCAAATTGGGCATTGACAAGACTTAGGGATGCTTATGCAAATTTAAAACCAAAAAATTTTTATACACTTTAAAAAAGTTTTTGAAATAAGTGCAAAAAGCTCTTATAAATGTGAAAAATTGTAACCATTAACTGATAAAAATCTCTAATGATGTTTTACGTTTTAACATCAAATTAAGCTTTGACCTGACTTCTGTTAATCCCCCTTTAAGTGTCCTTCAATTCTAATCCATTAGAATGATTAAACCCCCATTTAGGGGGTGGAAAAAAGTGGAAAAGTTCATATTTTCTCTAGGGTAATTGGCTGAAAGCAAACACTTTTAGAGCCAAAGCTCAAACAGCAACAACGTCTGCAGCTGGAAAAAGTCAATTAAAATGCTGGTACTCTGTTTAAGTGTGTGCGAGTGTAATTATAATTTCACGTTGCGTATGGGTAACATTTGCCACTCAAAAAAAGATACACACTGTATGAATGTCTGTCTCATGTTTTAGGGCATTTGCAACTTTTAAACATTTTTTATATATTTATTTTATGCTCTCTGGCTGGCTTTTTTTGGCTTTTTGTTTTATTTTTGTTTTGTGCAAGCGAGCGAAATGGAAGGCAGTTAACACGCCATTGCTGCCAAAACATTAACACGCTTTATTTGGCAAATGTGTGCAAGGACATAGGCACACACACACAACCATAAACACCCACACATGCACGTAGACGTGTACGTATACGTACCGAGTTTATATACAGACACACATGTACCTACTTAAAAGCGCACAAGCAGCACTTAACCCAAATCACAGCAAACAGCAGCGGAGAAAGCAGAGAAAGCAGCCAACGACAACCGTCACCAGTCGGCGTCTGAAACTGGAACTGAATCTGAATCTGAATCCGCAGCTGTATCTGTATCTGTAGCTGTGCACAGATACAGCTGTATCTGAATCCTTGGTCACCATTCGCAGCATTAACACATACGCACCGTGAATGGGTGCAGATATATATATATATATCCATACACACATTTATCAAGAAGTCGTAAATTGCCGGGGCATATATCACGATTATTGCGCTTAAGTCCGTATTTATTTTACTTCATTATACTTTTGTATTACCGCAGCGCAATCCCACTCTTTATACTTCATAAAGCTCAATGAATATAGGTCAGAGTTCAGGCCTCACTGGTTGAAAGCCCTCAATCGATACCACAAGCTAATCAGGACTAATCAAATATGCGGTTTTAATAACCTGAAAAGTAAAAAACTTAAAAAAAGAAGAATAAACTTTTCGAAAGCAAAAATCTGTGATACCTAGACCAAAAATAAATGGGTAGTCGAATAACCATGTAAATGTATTCCACACACAATTGTTAGAATCGGTTTCTGTTCCCTTTTTTTTTGTTTTATGCGATTTTTTTTCTTTTGTTTCCTTCTTTATGATAGGGTTCCTAAATTATGCATGACATCGATTTTACAGATGCATTTTGCGGTCGTTTATTTTTCGCACACATGCTGGGTAGAAATAATCATGGTGGTGGTAACAAGTTTTCCTCCTGCTCGTTTTGCGGTGGCGAATGGAGAGTGGTGAATGGAAAATGCAGAATGGCCACCGCAAACAAGGACAGCAAACAGTCGCAATCCGCTTGTAATCCAGCCAGGATTTGACTTGGCACACATGCAGCCAATGCAAATCTAAAATTCCCCTCGCTCTTCTACACTTCCCAAAAGAAATCAAGAAAAATCGTTGTTGCATTTGAAAATTTGGTACATGTAGGAAAATGAACAAAACTGCAGAATGCAACATACATAAATTCAATAAAGCTTAAAAAAACTGTAATATTTAAAACCAGTCACCAAATTTAGGTAATATCGGTTGGACCTTAATAATAAAACAGAAAATAATTTTGAGCATTGAAGAGGTTTAGAAAGTTAAAGAAGAAATGGATCTTGCTTTCACATTTAAAAAACTATTAAATACTTTTGAAAACCTTAAATATTAGTTCTTATTAAACTAAGTACCTATATTAACTATCTTTTTATATTCATAAAACTTTGTCGTTCCTTTTGTTTATTAAACAATTATTACATCTCTTTTGTTGTACGTACTCTGGTTATTTAAATGTAAACTTAATGTTACAAACGAAATCTAAAAGAAGAATCAAGTTTCAGATCTATTTTCAAATGTGAAATTAAAAAAACAACAACTACAAAATAACTTAACAAATATTTAACACTTTCGTCCAATATTTAAACATTTTTTCGATAGGTTCTTTTTATATATTTTTATGATGGGGACTGTTTTAAAACATATAACTTTAAGTTTTTTTTTTAGTGCACTAACTTTATTTGCTCTTAAAATCTAAAATGGAAATCCCTGTGTCCCCAGATCGTCAACGAGTACACGGATTGGGATCGCACCTCGCAGCATCCGATCAATACCCGGGACACGGCGGTGGCCGCCCTGTCGGATGCCCAGTTTGTGGCTCCGATTGTCCGAGCGGGCGACATCCTGGCCGCCAATTCCCCGCCCCCAGTAAGCTCATCCTCACCAGCGGGCTCAGCGGGTGCAAATGCAGCTGCCTCGACCTCGGCGGGCTCTACTCAGCCCTCTGGACGATGCTACTTCTATGTGTTCGATTACCAGACGAAGGACGGCGACTATCCCCAGAGGATGGGCACTGTGCACGGCGAGGATTTGCCCTACATTTTCGGTGCCCCGCTGGTCGATGGCTTCAGTCACTTCCCGCAGAACTACACCAAATCGGAGACGGCCCTCTCGGAGGCGGTGATGATTTTCTGGACCAACTTTGCACGCACCGGGTAAGTTGATGGGCAGCTTTGGGCGCCCAAAAGTGTCTCTGAGCGGTCTTAGGACACCTGCTGTCCGTTCGGCACTTTTAAGCCCCACTTAAACGTCTTACTAACTTATGCACTGAGGGAAACAGTGTCGGAAAAAAATCAATAGCCACATGTGAGTCCTTGAAAATGATTCAAAAGAGGGCTGGACTTAAAGCTGCACTGGGGAAAATGTGTTGTACTTTTATTTATAATTTTAGGTGCCTAAAAGTGTGCAATAAAAAATAGTATACGTTTTTCTGAATGAATTCGTTGTGTTTTTGCATACTTTTAGACACCTACAATCACATAAAATCAATTTCATTACATTTTGAATTAATAAATGCATTTTCTATTAAATCTAACTTATTTGCTAACAGTAAATTCTCAACTTTTCCTTTTCTTTTTAAGAAATCGGAACAAAATCATTTTTAAATGTTCGTTTAGGTGTCTAAAAGTATGCAATTAAAAAATAATAGAAGCCTTTCTTAATCAATTCGTTGTACTTTTGAGCCCCAAATATATTGTTGCATACTTTTAGACACCTACAAATTCCAGTGATCTCTTTAAGACCCCGTATAATAAAATAAATTTCATTATATTTTTAATAAAAAAACATTTTCTATGTAATCGAACTTATTTGATAACAGTGCATTCTCAACACATCCCTTTCTTTTCAAGGAATCCGAACGAACATCATCGCCAGGACTCGTCGCTGCCGGTTTCAAAGGAGCGCAACCGCTTCCGCAGCATCACTTGGGAAAATTATGATCCGCTGCACCAAAAGTATTTGGAAATAGGTGAGTCAGAAGAAAATTCCCATTTCCCACTTCGTGTGCATTTTCCTTATTTTTGTGTGAATGGCTCAAACGGAAATCTTTTCGTAAGCTTCTAACGAAATGGTTGCTTGTTTGTTTGTTGTTTTCGAAATGGAAGTGGAAGAAACTATTTAAAAGTTTAATACCTTTGAGAAACTTTACTTTCATTTCCCCTTTCAATCAGGCGATATTTTTAAATGGAATTCCAGTTGCTTGTTAATATGCAAGTAGCTTCGGCTACAAAACCATTTCTTATAATTCGCTCACCCCAAAACGTTGGCAAAATGCTGTATGGCTACTTTGGCATGCAGTAAAAATGAATTCGTGGAATTCATGCCGAATAAGGGCTACAAATATGGGGGAAAAAATGGGAAAATAACCTAAGCACACACAGCCAGCTGAACAAAAAAAAAGGAGAATCAAATTTAATTTGAATTTTAAAGAAGGCAGTGCCTGAACATGTTTTGCTTGCTAACAACAACAAATTGAAGGGGCGGTGGTTTCGAGGGGGGCGTGTGAAACGAGGGAGTTAACACACAAGTACTTCAACGAAATGTGAGTGCAAAAAAAAACCTTAACAACGGCGACTGTCAGTATATTCAAGCAGGAGCATCAGAACCACCAGGTAGATGAAGGGCAATCAAAACGCCCAGAGATTGTCGAAACATTACCTGAAGTAGGGGGAGGGGTGAAAGGTGATGAACTCTTGGGGGACCAAGGGTTCCTGAGGGGTGCCGGGCACATAAAGCTTTATGTGTGCGTTAAAATGGCACCCTTGCTTCATGTCAAATGTACGAAAATGTTATTAATTTCAAATTTTTCACACCCTTTGTGCGCGAACGCGTCAGGCACATGGTGAAAAATACAAAAAAGAAGCCCTGGCATTTGCATAATGTGGCGATTTGCAAATACCCTGCATTATGGGGAAATAAGGTAATGAGTAAATACTTAATTTTGATAGGAACTCTTTTTCTTTGTTGGAATTTATTAGCCAAATGTAAATATTCTGTATACTATAATTTTTTATAAGCGTTTGTACCTCGTAATCCCCGATTCCTTGCTTACATTGAGAGATAACTTTTTATGGAGGATTCAGAGTACTTTTAAAGTCAATTTACATCTCTGGATGAAATAATCTACTTTTTAATTACATTTAAAATCAAACAAATATAACATGGCATCTTTCCACTGCCTAGAAATCAATATACCCACTTGACACATAAATGATCTAACTTCGCCCATACACACAGCTCGTCGAAGATAGCGACAGATATGGGTGCTTAACGCTTTATGAAAATTACGCACAGGTTACGGCAATGGATTTGCCTCATATCGTGCGCACGAGAATCGCTTTTTTATATTTTTAGTGGGCTAAGAGGTTCAAAAAAGGTGGAGTTGAGGCCTGTCGACACGCACTTTACGCACATGTGAGCATTGAAGGACGATACGTATGAAAAGATATGTCTGCGCGCCTTCTTCACTCTTTATTTTCGTCCTTTTTTCCCCCTGATTTTAATTGAAACGACACACAGCGACAGCTGATATTCTATACAGTATACATATATCCATCCAGAACACCCTTCAATGCGCCGCCTGCACTTTACATAAGCAAGTTAAAAGGATTCCGCTGAGGAGTGGCGGACACGGTTTTCATTTGATACGTCAGGAAACTGAAATCGAAATCAAATAATATGTGTTGGGATGGAGCTGGCACAAAAGGATCTCCGGCACACAAAGGCAACTGTCACACAGATGCGCCAAATATATATATATGTACATATATAACTTATATAGAGATCGAACTATAAGCATATCTTATGTAAAAGGCTGGCTTGTATGAAATATCTGCTGCGTAAATTATGCATGCACTTTTTATTTGGATTTCGGATTTGCACTTGCGATTGACGATTGCAGGTGGAAAGGTCCTTCAGTCCTTCGGCAATCACATTTTCTTATGAATGCCCTCCGTGGCTGGGGAATAGGAGTTCAAAGGTGCATGAAAGCTTTTTGAATATTTGAGAAACATTCTCGGTACCTTTCAGATATTTATAAAAACGTGCAGATATGGGGGAGTGCTATACTTTCACTTGTATACCCCGAAAGAAGTAGGCTACGAGACTCCTTTTTTTCTGGCTCTGCTTGCCAAAAGAAGTCGGCTATATTTAGATACACCAGAAAAAACGTACCCTTATAAAGAGTATTTATCAGATTTAGCTAATAAAACAAATTATAAAAATATTTTTTAATAAACATATTTAATACTGTTTAATACATTATATATTTTCACCAAGCAGAATTTATTTAATGATATCCCTTTTTTTAAAGAAAGGGTTGTAATTAATTATTATGCGTAAAAGGTTGGATTGTAATCAACATCTATTTAAATTTGTCGGTCTGGTGCTTTTTAAAATTTTAAATACTTTACAAAAACATAAGGAATTTAAGGAATTTCCTGATAGTGCATGAGGAAGGCTCTTAGGAGCAATAGCTGAGGGCATCAAAAATTAAACAGCTATGTCGCTTTCACCCCGCCAAAGTAAACAAGACATCAAGTCTGGGGAAATGAGGGTGGAGTTCTGGAAACCGAGTGTTGAGAATGGGGAACCCAGAACCCAGAACCGAGAACCTCGGAGGTCTGGCCTCAATTGAGCCAAGTGTCTGTCGCTCACCTTTTTGGCATGCAAATGACTCGAAAGTGGCCCAAAAGCAGGGGCCAACGGCCAAATGGAATAGTTTAGCATTAGAGCTATTTGCATGCATGTTTCGTATGCGGATGAGTGTGTGTTTTGGTATCTGTCACATGAAAATGAAAATGAAGATGTTTACATAACTGCCCCCGCTTTGTTTTCGGGAAACACACTGCCTAAGACCCCAAGAACTCACTTACATACTCTTTAAATTCCAGGAATGAAGCCGCGCATTAAGAATCACTTTCGGGCCCATCAACTCTCGATTTGGCTACGCCTGATACCGGAGCTCCATCGCGCCGGAATGGAGGATGTGATAGCCCGGCACAATCTGTTCCGCAATCACGATGATATGGACCTGTACGAGGGACCCGTTAAACCGGATCCGTTTGGCATATCCTCGGCAGGAGTTGGAGCCACTGGCAGCTCATCCTCATCATCGTCGTCATCGCGTCTTCTGCTCATCGATGAGCAATTGATGATGAAGAAGGGACGGGGTCTGAACGCGTCTGCCTATTTGAACGGCATATTGGGCGGTAAGTAGCCTTTGACTCCCCTGTGACCCCTTCTCGCACTTTTCCGCCATCCAAAACAAACACAGACAGACTGACAGGCGAATTCATACGCTCGCTGCGGCTTGTCACTGTCACTTAAATGCCTAAAAACAACAAATAAGCCTGGGAAACCGAGCCCAAAGGAATAACGCCCCCTTTGGCTTTGTAGATTGTATTTCGTCGGTTTCGTCCCTTTTGGCCCTTTGCACAGTCTCTGCAGTTGTCGTTTAATACGGTTGACAAAGGCCAAGCCAAAAGGACACTTGACTGGCCTTTGGGCCTGGCTTATTTAATTGCAGATTCTGCGTAAGTCTGACAAATTGGAATAAGGGTGCAAGCTCCTTTCGATTTATGCTTCAACGGCTTGTTACTCTCTTTTGATTCTTGTTTTGAGTTACTTAATGTGAGGGATATTTAAAAACCCTTCCATTACTTAAACGATTATGGCCATATGATCCCTGCTTAAGTATAGACTAACTTGCTGGCTTTATTTTAAAAAGTCTTGCCAACCTAGACAAAGAAAAGGTTCCATAGCTGAAAGTATTATAAATGTATATATTAACTCAAGAAATGCATGCTAAGAGATATCCAAAAGTTGGCCCTTCACTTGCTAGAATAAATCCAGACAAATAAGCGGAAACTAGTGTCATATTGCCATGAGAAACTACATTCAAAAAAGTATTTGCCCTGAATTTTGAACATTTCGGGTCAATATGCATTTATTTTTAACTCAAGAACGATTCCCTCTTATTTAGTAAATTGCCTTTATTAAAGAAATATTTTTTTTACAAGTAGATAAACTCTTATAATCACAGCAAATTCTTTTTTGAGTGGTAACATTAAAATGGGTTGTTTTATTTACATCTGTCAATTTGTATCCTTTCTAAAGGAAACAGTTTACAAAGTTTCTGGTTCAATCTGCCTATATGTATGCACATCATAGCCCAGCTGACCTCAATTATTTTGGCCCAGCCATTCAGTTCGTTTTACCAATATTACTCATACGCCACGTATGAACATGGATAATCAGACTATTCGAAATCCGAAGTCAAATATTTAAGACTCGGCCACAAATTCGTACGCACATGTGCGCATTTGTTTAATAACTCGACGGCAATGAAATATATTCCACATAGCCACCATGTGGGGTCCCTCACAAATAAAACGAGATTCAAAGGAGAAAACTCGTTCTATTTATTTGGCTCCTATGCTCTTCTAGGATATTTTTTCTTTTTTCCAACGAAAGGTTCGTTTGTTGGAGAGTGAGTTGAAAGTCAACACTTTCGGCAGCAAAGATTTCTGTTTACTCTTGACGTGGGCCTCGGCCTAGTCAGTGTTTACTTCACTTTGTGGTCTCGCAGCAAGTTAAATTGCAAAGTTGGCATTTCTGTGAAAAACTGAAGGGGTAAAGGGTAAGGGGTACTCGGCCACATCTCGACCCGCTCTGTCCCTGGCATGACATTTCCATTTGACCCAGCCCCGAACTTGGACCTCCAGCTGGGGCTCTGGTTATTGAAATTGCGTCCGGCCCCGGGATACTAAGGTTTGGCTTTTGAATTTATATTGTGTCGAGTGCTGACTTTTGGAAATGCACTCAACTGTAATCTCTATAAGCATTAAGTGTGTGTAACCTTTTTTCAAACATCACTTGCTTTTATTTCTATCCCTTTGCCCTTCCCCGACTGTCTGTCCCTGGCATAAATATCTCGTTTACATTCTAGTCGGTGGGGGGTTTCTGGGTTGAAAAGAGGGTCTTGTGTCTAAGATGCCACAAATGTAAATAGCGCATAATTTTAATGCACTTGCCCCACTCCAGTTCGCCATCTCCATCCACATCCACATCCTCCTCCTTTTTCCCAGATGGGGAAGTCATTAAACCAGTTTATGTAAAACTCGTTGGCGGAAACTTTTTCAACACTTACTCTAAATTAACAGCAAACTTTGCCGCTTGTGTTTTCCACGCTTTCTTTATGTTTTTGCCATTTTTAATAAACTGTCCCCGCAGCTGGGGCAAAACTGCAGCTGCTTTTCTTTGGCTAAAATGAGAGAGGGAAATCCAACTCAAACATCAAATGCTTATATGTATGCTGTGGGCCAGGGGGGTTACAGTGCCTTGTGGGCGTGGCCTTGTTTCAAAACCATCATAGCAACTGCTTCGACTTACTTCCACCGACACTGGCTTATCTCAAAGTCAAAACTAAGACAGTCAATTTCAGGCAAAACTTTCTACTTTCCCCTAGCCAGGCTACTAAATGCCCCAACCCTATTCTAATATCCCGCTTTTTGCTAAGTTGGCCAATGCAAAATGCATTAGCTTATGGGGGCGGCGGGGGGCGTGGTCGAGGGCAGGGGCGTGGGCGTGGGCGTGGGCGTGGGTGGGGGCGTGGCACTCGAGAACGCTTTCGCTTGGCAAAGTCGGGTAAATTAAAAATTATTGAAATGTTGACTTTGCCTGGTCTAGGAAAAGCGCTTTTATTCTTTAGATTAAATGGATGATTCACATTGTCCGCAGGGAAACTGCAATTTTAAATAAATTGGTTGGTTTAAAAAATCGATAAAATGCGTTCTGATTCTGACCATTTAATTTTTTATTTGAAAAAGGCGGGTATTAAGAATTTTTCTTTATTATTAATTCTTTTAAAAAAGTACAATTTGATATTTAAATTTCTTTTTATAATTTAAGACTAAATTTAAATAAATTTGCTGGCTATGAAAATCAATAAACTGGGCACCAGAAAAGTTTGGCTTATGTTTTATATAAAGAAAAATATATTTAAATTTGGTATTTAAATTTAGTTTTGAAATTTAAAAATAATATTTTACACTCCTCTTCACTATTATCGGTATATAAAATATTTTAATTACATAATAATGAATTAAAATCTTTAAAAATAAAATTTAAAAGACTCAAAATATTTAAAGCATCTCCTTAAATACACAATTAATCTTAATATGAATCAAAGCTTCTTTATATTATTAAATATTTTATTCTTCGGGTGCTCTTTAAATCTTGATGGGAACATGCTGCGCTTAAATTTAATCTCTCCTACTCGGTTTTGGCAGACAAACAACTAATCTGTGACCCAAACAAACAAACTGACGAGGGGGCGGAGGTCAAAGGGCGACCAGTGCTGGCTAATGTAGAATGCTGATGAGAGAGGGTGTTGGACCACAGACAACAAATGTTCATTTCAATTAGTGCAGGGCCCAGAAAATGCTGCAAAACTAAATCCGGCCATCAAAACAAACTAGCAAGCCGGCCAAAGCTGAAAACAAAATCGCAGATGAAGATGGAACCGAACCCGGACCAATCCGTAGCGGTAGATAAAGGCGAACTGGAGTGGGCAAAAAAATGGAAAGGGAAGATGATAAAATGCCTGAAATGCGACAAACAGCTGTCAGGTTGACAGGCGACGACGACGCAGCCAGGCCACAAAAAACACCCAACACTAGCTGGGAAATTCGGTGGGTTGTAGATGGTGGGTGTGGGAAATGCGGGAAAATCACAGGAGATTGGAGAGCCAACGGAAAACCCCAGACTCGCTGCAAGGCAGCGACCGAGTCACAGTGTCATATGGACTCGACATACTTTGACATGCTTTTCATTTAAGCGTTGACTTTGCCAACTGTGCCGCCTTGTCTTGCCTTTCTCCAGGCATCCCCCATTTCGAGGATATCCCCTTGATTTTCCCACATTTTCCCCGCTTTTCCCCTGTCATCGCTGGCGTCACCACCTCAGCCATTCGGTTATACAACTTGGCCCGAACGGGGCGTCAGAGATATGCGGCTAAAAGCCAAAAAATCCACAAGCCAAACGAGACTTTCTGCCGTAAACAAAGCAGCCGCAAACAAAATACAAATCGAAAGACGTGCAAAACTAAAAAAGAAAAAAAGCAAGACCGTATGGATAAGAAGTTTTCCGCAAGAACTTTCAGTCGGGCTGGCAAAGTGTTGAAGTAGTTGGAAATCTACTTTTTCCATGCTTATTGTTTTTTCCTGACGCCTCTGACGGAATCGTCAGTTTGTTTTTGCCCAAGGATGTGATGGTCTTTCAGATTTTATGGATATATCCATACATTATTTATAAGGTGGGGAACTATTTTAGCTTTTGGGAATGCCTGTTACTCTAACTAATACTCACCTAGAAAAACGATAAAGTAAATATTCACCGTTAAGCATTTAAGAAGTTTTTATATTTTATAAAATTTTTGTTGATTTGTATAAACAATTTCCAAAAATATAAAACATTGTTAAAAGCTTATAACAATTAAATCAATTAAAATTCAAAAGCTCATATCACTTATTAATATTTATGGTTATATATGTTTGACTAATTTATCATATTCATAATATTACATTTAAAAAAGTCCAACTTTTAATCACCCAAGCTTTTAAAAAAATTCTTTCGTTAGCTACACATATTAAAATGCCTTAGTTTGATCGTTAGCAAAGTCTTTGTTTTTTCTTGCCTGCCTTAAGGTTATTCAAATCTAAACATTGTTTGATTTAAGCTCGGATATAAGGCAATACCCATAATAATTACGGCTGCTTTAAGAGACTCACAGTCTTAGCCCAGCAATTCCTCCTAACTCATTTCCAATCCGACTGAGTACGTTTTCAATGCTGTTTATCCCATCATCAAGTTGCCTGCGTCTTGTCTAAGCTCTGCTTACCAGTTTTCGAGAACAAAAAAAAGGGAAAACAAACAAACAAACCACATCCTTTGGCACACACACACATAACACGAACTCTGTGCTACTTTGCCTGACCTGGATTCCAGCGAAAAATGGAAATAGAAAGGAAAACCTGGCTGGAGCAGGCAGGCTCACCTGAGTTATTTGGCAAAGAGATGGAGATAAAGCAACATGTGGAACCAGACTTAGCCAAAAGCCTACTGCGAAAATCCCACGCCATTCGCCATTCGCCATTTCGCCCTCAGATCATTTGCATAATTCCTGCGATTCGTTTTTCTTGGATAGCAGGGCTGATTAAGCTGGGAAATGTCAAACTATCAGTGAAAATTGAAATGGTTCACTTAATAAATGCCAGAGTGTCCTTGCGCAGGATGATGCCTTTTGGCCCGGCTAATATCTAATTTATGCAAGGACATTTCGGCCTCAAATATTTTTCGCTTTCGTGGCACAAAAAGCCGGGCTTTCGGTTTGATTTTATGGCCAGGAATTGCTCTTTCTCGTTCTTAATATTCTTCTTTCTCTCTCTTTTTTTGTGCGATTCCACTAATTAAAGCCACATTAAGCATTGCTTTTGGCCCTCTCCTGCCCTTTGGGTTATCTGTCTGCCTCAAGCTGGGGCCATGTGTCCTCGTAACATAATTATCTGGGGTCCTTGAACGCATGCGGCCCCTGCGAAATGCGAAATGAAAATGGGTATAAAAATAAAAATAAAAAGGAATTAAAAATAAGATGGAAATGGGGAAAATTCCGAATGCTGCACACCAACAACGGAGAAGTATTTGTACTTGCAAAATTAAATGCAAAATGGGGCGGAATGATAAAGAGCTTAGTGGCCAGGGTCGAATCTCTTGATGGCGGGGGATCACAATTTATCTGGTTATGCAATTTAGCAAAAGGGTTGGTTGGCTATCATTCCCCCCTACAGAAAACGAAAGAAAAAGGGTCCTAAGCATTTTCCTGAGTGAACTCAAGTGACAGGCTGAGAGGTTTTCAGGCTGAGAGCAGGCACCCTCGCCATCATGATTGATGGACAAAGTTGGTGAGAAGTTATTATGTATAGATAGGGGCTAATTCCAAATTGGATTCCCAAACAAGCCCACAAAAAAAAGAAACTGGATGAGAAAGTGAAAGAGAAAGAGCTCATCACCGTTCACCTGATGCTTTTCCAACCAAACAATCTTGAGTAAATTAAATGCCACACTTGAATGCAAATTGAAAAACCTCTCAGACAAAGCAGCAAGTGGCTGAATGGCTGAATGGCAGCTGAAAATCTTCACACGATTATTGACACCCACTTGCGCCACAGATTCCCGATTATTACTGGAGATTTATTTGGGAAATATTTATGCAAAATACGTGCACAAGTCTTTAATCTTGTGAGACGAAGACGTAGAACTTTGGCGAAATTGTTTGATATGCAGAAAATTGAAAGGCAAAACTTTGCAGACAAACAGCTAGGAGCGCACAGACACACGGCTCGCATTCATTCATTTACCCACACTTGATACAACAGAACAATGCCAAGTGTAGGAAGCACTTGAGGGGACTGCCAGGACAATGCCAGGACACTTGCAGCACAAAGACAAATACATTTTCAAGGGGAGCTTCAAAGCCAGCGAGAAACCCATTTGTTTTCACAGACATTTGCGCTTCCAACTCCTTCAGTCGCCTTCAAATACCTTGGCAAACACAATGGCGGCCAAGTGGAGCGCGAAATATTCCAGCGCCCTCTCATAGGAAATGGAAATAATTCTGCATTCTGGACAATTCAGACAAAGGAACCATCGACCGGGTGGAAATGTGGCACAATAGAGCCTCGTCCAGGCTAATCCGCAGGCAGTCCGTGTATATTACTTGTCCAAATATTGAAAAACAATGGGGGCTTGACTAAATCAAATTCATAAAACTATTTTTAGCAGGAAAATATATAAAATATTTGCAATGTGTTCTCTGAGATATAATTTAAAGGGTTTTATATTTAACAACAATAGGTTTTTCCTGCAAGCTTGGTTATAAAATAATTTACAATTTGATATATAATAACTGGCATTTCTTTATTATTAAATTATTTAATAACATATTTTTGTTGGAAGAAACAAAAGCTGTTGTAAAACAATAAATACATTTAACACACATGCATTAAAAAATTAAATATCGCTGCTGGGATAGTATAATTACAATTGTGATTGCTAAAATCTAATTAAAGCTAGAACTAAAATATGAAAATATTATACTATATAGATTTAAATTTATTTGAACCTATTTTTTTAATTTTATTTGAACAATCAAGTATTTAAAAACCGTTGTTCTCTGCAATTACACAAAAATAATATGATTTCATTGTCAGCCCCATTGTTCATAGCGTGAAAGGTAAACCTAGACTACCTAGAAACCAATTAAAACGCAGGCCTTTAGAAGTATCACACAATTGAGCTGCAGGCAAAAGAGCCTTTCTGTTAGGTGCTAAGCGAATTATGTTGTATTTAATTAAATAAAAGTATTGAACAAGCTCCAAATTGCCTTAAGAAATGTGAGCTCAACATTAAACTATGTCAAAAGATACGAGGGGAAAGCAATCTACTGCCCCCAATCAACCGAACCCTTCTCAACCATATGAATAATTTCGAACGCAGCCAGAGGGCATTACTCATACGACCTGTGGACCCCCAGCGAGCGAGAAATGAACTACAGCCAGTTCAGGGAGATTAATATGCAATTTCGTTCCTCTTTCCCCCTTTGCAGTGACCACCGTGGAGCCAAATAACATGTATACGACCTGTATACCCATTGGAGGAAATTACTCAGGAGGCGGCGGAGGAGGAGGAGGCGTCTTTGCACCCACCACTTTGGCCAACGCCTCCTCGGACACTTTGGCCTCCGGTTTCGAGGCAGCTGGCTATGCGGCCTATTCGACAGCACTTAGTGTTACGATTGCCATTGGCTGCAGTCTGCTGATACTCAACGTGCTGATCTTCGCCGGCGTCTACTATCAGCGGGACAAGACGCGGCTGGAGGTGAAGACCCTGCAGAAGCAGTACCAGCAGCGGAGTCTCCACCAGCAGGTGCCGTATCCGCCGGAGCCCATCAAGCATGCCCACTACCACATGGGTCACTCGCAGAGCTCGGCCAACGTCATCGTGGACGTGGAGAGCCATCAGGACCAGGCGGGCCAGGCGGCCATGCTGCTCCAGGCCGCAGCAGCCGCCGCAGCGGCAGCGGCCAACGAGGTGAAGCCACCGCCACCGCACATCTGCTCAAATACAGGTAGGTGGGGGTGGAGTTGGGGGTGAGGAAATTAACCCTTCCAGGGTCTATCACTACTTTAATTACCCAATCTTGGTTCAAAATTTATTATCACACATTACCTTTTTTATCTATATATATTGTTATTTAAAGGGAAGTTTATCAAGGCGGCGTCAATGATCATTGAATAAATATTACCTTAAAATATACAATGTAGTAGTAATTTAAAAAATAATTTACTCAATTATGCTTAGATCCAAAATTAAAAAATTATGAGCATTCAAACAGATAAACTTGTCAAAAAGTTTTCAAAAATGAATGTGACCATAAACTGTTTCAATTAGCAAATATTAGTTTTTGTTTTTGCGACTCATGGTTGCTTTATATTCATATTATAAAGGATTTTAAATCACTTCTGGGCTTACAACATATTGTTGCATACTTTAAGACACCTAAAATTTCAATCAATAGTTTTTAAATATGATTGAGTGGCACCCCCAATTCCAGAATTTTAAACGAATTAATACTATTTTCCATGGAGAATTTTTTAAGACAAAGGCAATAATCAATAAAAACATTTTCTTTTATCAATTGTTTTTAGTATAACATATAAATGCATTTAAATGTCAACCAACCAACTTAATGACTATAATATAACTCAATTAAAAACTCAATAAATACTAATTATGTTTAGTTCTATAGCGGAAACAAGTAATTTTGAAATGTGAAACGATACTTATAATAAAAAAAATGTTTTTAATAATCAACAAAAATCAGGGACCTTTAATTGCTGCAAATGGTATTAAATAATTATATTTTTATCTTAACATTTTTTATTCTTTAGAAAAGAACTTTGGAATTTCATAGAAAAAAAATATGTTAAAATATTACTTCTTTAGTTGGAAAATAATTTGGCTTAAAATGTATAATTAAATTTTAGTAACAATGGGCCTTTGTCTACTCCCCGTCAGGAATGCAACAGCAGGTGGGTGGCGGCAGCGGTGGAGCCCTTAATAACGGCGGCATCGAGGGGTCAAAGGTGACCACAGACAGCCTGGGCAACGTCACCTACAGCACCAGCTCCAAGCAGCAACAACAGCAGCAGCAACATCAGCAGCAGCAGCAGCGTGAGCACATGCAAATCAAGGGAATGAGCGGCACGCAAACCTTTGGCCGCAATGGCTCCGGATCAGGGGGCGGGGCTGGAGGCGGGTCGGTTTCCGGTTCCGGTGGCGCCTCCGTGGTGGTATCCGGCAGCAGTGTGAGCTACAATCCCGGCATGATGACGCTGCCCAAGCCGGGCGGACTGCATCACGCGGCCACTTTGAATTATGCGCGGAACACGGCCGCCTTGAATTTGTCGGGCGGCGGCACAGCACTCGTGGATAGTCGCGGCAACGTCCTGCTCACCAGCACCGCCGTGGGTCCGGGATTAGGAGGTGGCTCCAACGGAGGAGGAGGATCCACTGGTGGCGGCGGCGGAGGAGGCGGTGACTGTATGACCCTGCCACGCAATCTTAGTCTGGCTGCCGCAGGACGACACAATCCCACGACAGGTGAGTGCCAGAAATAATAAGAAATATAAAAGACCAAAAACCAGTCGTAACTTGAAGACGCAACAGCCGAGGGATATGCAATTGAATTGCGCTTTCAGCTTGCCAAAGTTGCAAGTTTGTCTCACGCTTCCACTTTTCCGGAACTCGGAACTGGGAACTCCTTTCCTCGAAGGCAACAATATTGCGGGCTGGCAGCAATCAAGCTGAAATGTGATAAGATTTCATTTCATTATGAAGTGCTTGTTTCTCCTGCCTGCTTCCATCTCTCGTAAATTGTAAATTGTATCTTGTATCTGGTATCTGCTATCCTGTATCTCACTTCTCGATTCTCTGTATCTGCGAATCTCGCAAGTCTGCTTATTCGATTTCAAGCAAATGAATTCGAGATTGAAAAGGTTTTGTGAGAGTTCACACTCGACGAGCACTGCAAATGGTAAAATACAGTTTGCATTACAATCAGGCGGAACTTTTGATGCGGTTGGAAATAAGAGTTTTATCGGGTTTTTGATAAGATTGATAAGTTGGATAAGACGGGATGGCTGCAATATGCAAATGGTATAACCAATATTAGTTGGCACTGCAATAAGTCGGAAAAATATTCTACCTAACATTTTGTAAAATTAATTAGTTATAAAGTAATAAATGTATTTTAAAATATTTAAAATATAATACCACTTTTTTAACTTATTTAAAATGAAACTTGTTCGATTTGTAGTGAAAGGCTCAGATTTATTTACTTTTTTTAATTTAAATATAATAGTGCAGTTTTATTTATAAAGTTTATAAGTGAAAGTTACAAGATTATTAATTTATAGAGGATTTCAAACATAAGATTTCAAGTTCTATTTACCAAAAACCCTCTTTATATCTGCCAGATTTAAAAATACATATGTAATTCCCCTAGTTCCATTTTCCAAAATTTATATCCTCTAATTTGAGCTTAATTTGTCCATTTAATTAAGGCCTCGTTTTAAAGATGATCGATTATATGCAGACAACTGAATCTTCATCAAAAACCTTATATATAAATTTCGCGAACCTATGCCTACTCTTTAAGTCCTTAAACCCAAACAATGGGTTAATGGATGACTACAGGATACCCCAAGCTGATTGTCAAGAAAACAGGGACGAGCATGACTTTGGAATGTTGGACCTGTCATGGGCTCTACGCCCACATACACATAAATTTCCTGCTAAATCATCCCAAACAAACGAAAATATTGCTTAATCAAATTGAATGACCTCCGTGCCCGAAGGTCTGACGTTGCAGAAAAAAATGCCAGAGACAGAACACAAAAAACGAGAATGTCCGCGTGAAAATTGAAATTGTTCTAATCAGCCGTCGAGGAGGTTGTTTCGCTTTTTTTTCTGGGCCGGCTAACACGTGTTATTGAATCACTGGAAAGGAAAAACGGAGCAGCAAGTCGAAAAAAAACAAGATGAGGACCGGGAAAACCATTTACGCTTCGCTGGGGTTCAACGGACTTTTGACTTTTGACCACACAGAAACACAGACACCAGAAGAACCCGAACCGTAATCCCGGTTTTGTGGACTTGGTCTGCAGCGGAAATTGTTGTACAAATTATGCTCCACTGATTGCCAAGGTTTTTAGTGTGTTTCCTTGCTCCAACTTCTGTTGCCTGATGAGCTGTTAAATGCGATGGGTGGAAAGAACCTCCTATTGACAGTTTTTCCCAGCCATCACGCAATAAAGTCGTTATGGGCCACTTCAAGAAATATGCCCGCCTCACCCGTCTAATAAATCTCCAATATAAACGACAAATAAAATAAAGATTCGTTTTGCGATTGTACAAGTATACAAGTATCCTTCTACTGCAATCGGCGGCCCCATTACCATTTTACCCAGTCACGACATGATTTTTATGATAAGATTTTCAATTTCAATCGACAGACAAATGTAACGATAACGATAAAGAAAATCTACAGCTACGCCATAAAGGTAGGGACCGCCGTAAAACAACTGGAGAACCATGATTCCGTGAAGCGTATTAAGCCAATAAAAAGAATCGCATAAAACTGTTGGTTTTAGTTTAGCATAATAAAATGTAAACATTAACCCAGCCAGCGGTGCAGAATAAGTTTAGTATTGGAATGGGGAATGCGGTGAACCCCACAATCTCTGTATATTTGGAATTATGGGCATTTTATTGCGGGTCCCGCACTCTAAAGCCCACACAATCTCTGCTCTTAACCCCATGTCGCTGGCATATTTGTGCGTAAATACATTTTTAGCCATCGATGGCAAATATATAACAAACATCCGATCCGATGAGCTGACCAGGTCGCCAAACTCCAATTGTTTTTTCACATAACAAAGCTCTTGTTTCTGTTCAAATTCAACTCTGAACCTGACAGATGAGGGAACACGTTTTAATTTTTTCCCCAAAATAAATTAGGGTTGAGCGGCGAAAATACCAGAAACATACACATTTCAGCATGGGTTTGACAGATAATTTATACAAAAATAAATTGGGGGAATATTTAGGCGGAATTTTAAAATTGAAACCGAAATGACGGGTCATATTGTATTTATAGATTTTGGTTACAAAATAAATACATTTTCAGCGGAATTCATTATGAATATTTCGTTTGGGAGGATTGCATATTTTTTCATAAATATTTCCGTTAACGATGCCATCCTCGTAATATGCTTAACTGTTCAAAAGTCATCGAAAATGAATGATATATATTTTATCACAAATTTACAAAACAAATATTAATCCTCATAAGGAATAAATTAATTTGATAATAGATTGTGATATCAAAAAAACTCACTATTTTGTAAATTTTAAATATTATATTTCAGCAAAATTCCTTATAAATACATTTATAGGGCAAGTGCATATTTTTTGGTAAATATTTTCGTTAACTTTTTAGTCCTTGGCTGTTCAAAATTCATCGAAAATGAATGATAATTATTTTATCACAAATTTACAAAGCATTTACTAATCATAAATAATTTTAGGATCATTTGATAACTAGAATAGATCGTAATTACAAAAAAATTTCCCTATTCATAATTTTGCGAACTTTAATCTGTTATTACTGGACGACACACTTCAAAAGTCATCCAAAACTTAGAACTAAAATTGATTTAATCAAAAATTTGCACTTCATGCCCACTTTCAACCCACTCAATCGCAAAACTTTTATCCAAGAACCAATTTTCATAGACGAGAAGGTCCTGGGAATCCAATTTTTAGCTACTTGAGCAGGTTTATGCACTTGTATTTTGTCAGGTCTCTAATTGCTGGTCGATAACGCTGAAATGGTGAAAGAAAAAAAATATCAGAATAACAGAAACGAAAAGAAACCTGGAGCCAAATACACAATTTCCAAGGGATTGGCAAGAGCAAAATGCGTTCTTTTTTTTCGCATTTGCATAGAATATTTTGTTGCTGATTTAATTTTACGCTCGCGCCTTAACGGAAGCGGAAATTCGTAGTGGTTAAGTGGGCTGGTGGGCGTGGCACTTGACGATGTTTTTGCTGATTATGAACATGATGATGATGATAATGATGTCGCTGCCATCAGGTGGCGACGTTGTCGGAAGTGGCGAGTTTTTCTCTGCTGGCATTTTGAGCGCTCTTTGCATTATTTATAATTATTGCGAATTTTCATATAATTATGCGTGGGCGCATATTTTCCGCATCTCGCCGCTGCTCAATTTTCTTTCTCAACTCGCCACTCTGCATATATATTTTGTGTATTTTTTTTTCGTTGTCTTTTGTTTCACCTCCTGTCAGTTATTTATTTAAGCAGCAAATTTTTCTTTCCGCCAGCCAGAGGAGACTATAAATATTAAAGTCAACGGTAGTTTGTGTCTGGGCGAGAATCCTTGCGTAATTAATGTTTGTTCTGAGATTTTTCCTGGCTGGCTGGCCGTTCGCTTAAGGCACTCAAGTGGCACATTACAGTCCTTGTTGTAACTTCCTCTCGGTTTTTGTGCTTTTCCTCTGTTTGTTGTGAAGGCCTGTGGATTATGTGAGTTTGCTGACATTGTTGAACGGCAGTTAAATGCCTCATTAGGTTAAGTTGCCTTCACTTAAATTTGTTTCCGGCTCAGGTTTTTCTCGGTATTTATTGGCAAAAGATTTCATAATTTAATTTGAAGTCACTTTAATTGTGTTCTGACTTAAAGTTCGTGCTTTGGCAAAAATAATATTCATTAAAAGCATTTGATTTTCTGTATTTTTTTAAACTCGTTTCAGTTACTCGGATACACTACTACAGAATTCTTTTGAAAATATTATTACTAATTTTATAGTAATTTTAGCAAAATCGTTTCAATAATTCGGATGTTCTTACTACAGAATATTCCTAATTTTATAGTAATTTTTAGCAAAATCGTTTCAATTATTCGGATGTTCTCACTACAGAATACATTTGAAAATATTATTCCTCATTTTGTAGTAATTTTTATCAAAATCCTTTCAATTATTTGAATGTTTTCCCTGCAGAATAAACTTGATATGACTCCTATAAAATGAAAATACAAGTGTTAAAGTCCTACCTTTTCCCATCCCCTCATAAATCATGTGAAAAGCTTTATGTACGAAATTCACACACACATACTGGCTAAACGTTCAATTTACGGACTTGCAAAGTGAATTGGAAAATGTGTTGAAAACTTTTAGGGCCACGGAATGCCGTATTATGTTGGTGTAAAGGGGAAACTTTGTTTGGCAAAAAATTTTGATTAGAGAGAGACTTAAAACTAAGCTGGCCCATGCATATATGAATGGGAATTGGGAACTTGGACCCGTTCAATCGATAAAAATCCTTAGTCAGCCTTTTTTTTTGGGCCTTAATCATTTTCGATATATATTTTTGTTGGCTTTTGTGCAATGGGCAACTGCTCTGAGCTCTTTGAAGCCAGCGTTAAGCACTCAAAGTGAGGCTATTTCATATTTGTTTTTTTTTCACGGTGCCACTTTTCAATTTATTCAGATTTATACTTTGCATAGAGAACTTTTGG